TGTTTGAACATCTTATGATCTTGTCAGCTTCTTCCTGAATAGGTCTACATTTGAGAAACTCATCTACTACTTCTGGCAGTGCATTCTACTTACTTGAAAGGTCTTCCCTTTAGTTTAGTCAAATCTCCCTCTTTGTAGCTTTCCAGTTTAGGTCTTGGCTAGTGAGTGAGCCTAGCCAACCAGTCAGCCTCCATTTCCCAGGAAACAGTCAGCCACTCAAGGAAATAGTTTTTAAGCAAAAAATAAAGTTTGGAAAGGAATAAGATAAACTCAGCAATAGCATAAAGTGCAATAGGTTAGGCTCTCCTGCATGGCCCCAAAAGGCAAAATTGGGTTGCAAATTCAAACAGCAGCTGTCAGCATGTTAGAAAGCATGTGGAATTTCAGGGGAATATTGGGAAGAACAAAAGCTGTATCGTTTGCTTTGTAGGAGTTCATACTCTTACCAGAAAGATAAGAAGGAAGAAAAGCATTTGGAGACACTCAAGGTTCAGGTTTTTCAGGCAGCGGGAGGGACTGATCTCATGACTAGTGGCCTCAGCTTTTCAATAGAACCTTTTCCTCTTTTTATAAAGAGCGCTTCCAACCTCTCCACTTCAGGCCAACTCAGTCCTACTCATGAAGACTTGTGCCAGCCAAGTCTTTGAAATCTTGAACATTCTTGGAAGCGATGCTGGCTGAGACACAGAAGGATTCTGGGACAGTCCACCAGTACGTGGGAAGAGCAAGGAGAAATACGGGGAAAACTCTCCCTTCCATACGAAGGAGATGGCAAATCAAGACAGTGGGTCCAGGAGAACAGATGAAAAGGGGGCCAAGTCACCATAGCAACAAGTCCAACAATTCTAAAAGACGGGATCTTTATTTTTCTTTTCACTTGTCACTCTTTTCAGTACTGTCACTCTCTTTCCCTGCTCCCAGCAGGAGACAAGTTGTGACTTTTTCACTCCCACCGACAAGCTGCCTGGTTTGGGGGAGTGCAACTGCTACAGGATGGAAGGAAAATGGGGTACCCCCCTCCCAGGGATAGCTCAGAAGACTTACCTTACCTTTCCTGGGTCGTAGCTGGTAATCTTGCAGCTTGACTGCAATGCATGAACACTGCAGTTCATATACAATTCCACAAAGAAGCCTCCTCTCATGGGAACACCCTGGTCCTCAAGTAAAAGGGATTTTGTACCTGCCACGGAATGGCCTGTCTATTCCTACAGAGTGAGTCAGCAAGAGTAACAGCAATGGAATAGAAGAGCTCAAGCCGCCTTAGCAAGATCTAAATCTGATGCTATCACAAACCTAATGGCACACATAAGGGAATCATAAAACCTTCCTAAATGTAAATTCAACTATTTAAACTAAGACCACACCAACACTAGCCTTTCATCACACACCATTTAAAATAATGCCAAACTTAGACAGTTGGGTTTGGTCTAGCATTGGTGGTGATGGAGCCCAAGTCATCATTCATTCCAGAAGCCTTTCCTGACTTTAGCTACAATAGAATTGTTGTCAGCATAAATAAGGATCAGTAACAATCTGTGTCCTGCAAGGGGTGGGATTTCCATACCATCTACCTGTATACCCTTTGTACGAAATGTCACACACACCCATACACACACACACAGAGAGAGAGAGAGAGAGAGAGAGAGAGAGAACCATCACCCTGGGTCAAATACTCCTTCAGAAGCAAGGAACGCTCTTCCCCTCCAGGCCCAACAAGATGTTCAATCGCTGGACCCTCCTGTTTCTGTAGTTATATAGAATACACTTCTTCAGCCCACACCCAGGTGAAGAGCGACCTACTTCCTTCTCAGATGTACTGTACAAAAGGTGGACTTGCCATCTTCATAGGATACCTTCATAGGAAATTTTGAAGACAGTAACAGAAAAAGATGTCCACCACTCTATTATTCTGAATGTCATCTACAACCAAGGTGGGCTTGGGAAAAACTATGAAGAAGAAAATAGCTTTGGTGACCAAAGAGGAGGGGTGTGCAGCTACTGAAAGGCTAATCAGCTTGTGAAGTCAACAGCCTCTGACCTTTTTGTCTACCACCTCCTCCATCCACTCCACCTGAGCATTACTATTGCTAGATATAAGCTGGGGATACATTAAGATGCTTCCATCCCATCCCTGCCCCTATTCAGATAGAAGACTTTGATAGGAATTCCAAGTCTGCAAGGACTCTAAATTACTCTCCAAAGAAAGAATCACATACCTCCTCAAAAGCAAATGAGAGACATTTTGAGTGTTCTGACATTTTGAGTGAAGTGAGAATCTACTTGTTCAGCTAATTCTTGAACCAAGTTCTGAATTCATTTTTTGCACATTTCTCCTATCAAGCCACTATCCCAGAAGAGGAGAAATTTTGTCCCTTTGAATCCTTTGAATAATCATTTCTTCTGCTTCCAAAGTCAGGCTGAGCCTTGCCAAGTGTAACCTATATTCAAGAGCCATCTGCCTTAGCAATACAGGAAGCTACCAAAGGGATGTGCCTTAGATAATCCTACAGCTCTGCTGCTTCTGGGGTAGGAGACCTGCTGCTATTTACCAGCTGTGCTCCCTAAGCTCAATCCTGCTGAATCCTGTACAATGCACCAAGTAGAACAAGAACAAAAGCCAGTGACTTTGTAGATAAGAAATTCCTTTCTACCAACAACCCAGGTTCTAATAGGCAGATGTCCACGAAGGTCTAGGGCAACAGTCATCACTGTGCAGCCCGTCTTTATACTCACCTGCAAAGCAACACACAAAGAGACAAAGGCCACATGTCCCGTCCATTGCCATCTGTCAGCCAACAAGGATGGATACCCGTGCCGTGTGAGATGTGCATTTTGATTTAATTTACTGAGACAGCTGTTGTACCTGAACAAGCAGTAAATATCAACAAAGGTGCTGAGGCTAAAATGACATCTGGCAATGAGTATTCTTCTGAGACTTAAACATTTTCCTTTGCCTATCTCAAGAATTTGATTGAGGGGCGCCTCCCTCAGTGTGAGCCATTACCTCCCACTCCATCCACAGTTTAGTTGGTTGTTCTCAACTCTTGGGAAGGTGCTGTCCCTCATTCACCCACATCTGAATTCCACTGGACACGACAGAACTGAGGGATGATCAAACAGACCAGTGGTTCTCCTTAGGTTCTGTAGGGCGAGTTCTGTCCCTTCTTATTGCCCAGAATTCTAGGAAGTAAACAACTAGCTCTGTAACTCTGTTACTTCCAAGCTGATGCTAGAACTTTTACACAGGCAACAGAGATTTCTAAATTCAGCCACCCAGATCTATGTCTGCCTGTAGTGGTTTTCAGCAACCACCTCCAAAGAAAAATGACACTAATTAAACATAATTATTAGGAATTAATACACTTATTTTTCTCTCTCATTGCCTTTCTACCATACAAGCCCCCCAGCTTTTCCCCCTAAAATTGGATTCAGAACATTAACTTAAAGGTGCACATCGCTTGGTCTTTATTATATGTACAATGACTGTCTTATTAAATTGAAACCAAATGCACATCCAGGAGAAAGTTCCTTTTAATCGCCAACTCTCAGAAAAACACTTAGAAACACAAACAGTGAATAAGGCTACTGTGTTGCTGAGCAACAGCAGAGGTGAGGGGCAGGTGCTGAATCAAAAAGGAAGGGACACTGTTTTCTGAAAGAACAGGGTAAGCTCAAGGGTTCAGATTTTGATAGAAGCTACCTTGAATGTCTTATAGCATCTCTCACCCTAGAAAAGGCATAGAAGAGAGACAGAATCATAAATTCAACACAACCAAGAATGCCTGGAAAATTATTTTATATATATATATACATATATATATATACATATATATATGTATATATATACATATATATATATACATATATATATATACATATATATATATACATATATATATATACATATATATATATACATATATATATATACATATATATATATACATATATATATATACATATATATATATACATATATATATATACATATATATATATACATATATATATATACATATATATATGTATATATGTATATATATATATATTCCCACCGGGAATGTTTTAACACTCAGCCAATGAATACAAAGTTTTTTCAACTATTCTGGATGTTAAAGAGGGTGTGGGGTTGAGTGTATGTGTGTAATCATGCTGTTGCTTGGACGGCTTTTAGCCTCTCAACTCATTTTATTCTTTCCCCCTCCCCCACCTTTCCTTCCGCTTCCTAGGACAAGACAAGTGCTCTGAGCCTCAGCAATGTGGCAGGCGTGTTCTACATCCTGATTGGAGGACTTGGACTAGCTATGCTGGTTGCCTTAATCGAGTTCTGCTACAAATCCCGTAGTGAATCCAAGCGGATGAAGGTGGCATCGTCTTCCCAGGCCTTTTTTCTAACCTGTTCTGTGATACAGCTGGGTTTCCTGAGAGTCTCTTTGCTTGGGGAGGGCAGTGGATGAAGTCAGGTCAAGACTCAATATGCTCAAGGGAGCAGAAAGCTGCTAGAAAGAATGTGAGAGGGACAGAGGCAGTCATGAGAAAGGAGGGAAGATGGCGTGTGTTGGGCAAACACAGGGCCCCAGATAATATCTGCATCAGATGAGGCTGGTGAGATTAAAGGTTAAGGATTCAGTGGACAATCAGCACAGCGAGGCAAGAGTGCTTGCTACATATGCTGATCTTAGCCCAGTTTGGTGGTGCACACCTATAATCCCCACATATCGGGAGGCAGAGGCAGGACTGCAAATTCAAACCCAGCCTGGGCAACTTAACAACTTAGCAAGATTCACACAATAAATAGGATTGGGGATGCAGCTCAATTGTGAAGGCTCTGGGTTCAATCCCCACTGCTGGAAAACAAAACAAACAAAAACAAGCAAATAAACAAACAAAATGATCAATCTTTCTGAATTATGTCAACAGAAGAGTAGCTCCCAAAATAAGGGAAGGGATGCTTCCTCTCTCCTCTGTACTGATCTTACTGTGCTTGGTGAATCGGGTGTTTTCTTCACCTCCACACTGTGGAGACATTGGCAAAGAGGATCGTGCAGAGAGAATGGTAAGTGGATTACTGAGGTGGTCCCAACCACATCGAGTACAGCCTACAGCAAGCACAGAAGGGAAGAACAACGGAGGATTTAAGAGCTGTTGATAAAAATATGAAACTTTCCAGGTGGGAAAAAAATGATTAGTTTTATGGAGACCCAAGGCCACAATAAAATTATTATAATCAAGAGAAAATAGATATGAACACAATATGCAAAATCCACTGCTCCTACGCAGCTACCCAGAGATGGCACGGACTGTCCCACTAAGTAGCAGGCTCCCAACCATTAGAGGCATAGAAGCAGAGGGTGGATCATTCTTAGGAAGGATATAGATGGAAGCATCCAAAGGGAATTTGGATTAAATAATCTATCTTCAAGTCCTCTTGGTCATTTAGGCTCAGTCAAAAATATATATATTTATGGAAGGTCACGAGGTGAACATCATGAGCAAGGTGTCAGGAGGAAGCAGAGAAGAATGAGGGGTCGTCTGTGACTTTTGACATCTTTGAACTTCAACAAAGACTGAGTCTCAAAAAACAATCCAGGGAGGCCATCTACGGACAGATTGGAAGGCCCACAGGGATTTAGAGAAAGGAGAAGCAGCAGAAATTAAAAAGCACAAGTGAGATTTACACCAAGAAGAGAAGAAAAGTGTAGTCACTCAGGGGCCCATATGAAGGGCATCATATTGGTCCAGGCTACTACTTTGGCTTGACCAGACTAACAAGACTTGGCAGAATTTGCTCCCCTAGAATGTGCCCAAAGAATTGTACATTTCTTTTTTCTTTTCTCTATCATTGAGTTTATTGGTACATTTTAGGTATACAGTACAGTTACATTCATCATTGGGATCTTGTACCTTTACATGACAAGTCTTGGTTCTCATTTTTTCCCCTTGTCCCTGCCTTCCCTTCACCCCCTCCTCCCTCCCCATTTACGAACACTTTATTTCCATTTTTTCATTTTGTCATATTTTTCTTTTCCCTTATTACCTTTCCCCTACCCTTCTCATTTTCCCTACACCTTTAGCCCTTTTCTTCCTATTTCACATGGTCAATTATCTCATTAGGATCTTATGTACTATTATGGCTTTTCACACCAGAAAAAACTATTCAGTATTTACACAAGTGTGACTTATTTATTTCAATTAGGAGTATATCCTCAATATGTATCCACTCCCCCTTTACAAACACTTAATTTCCATTTTTTCATTTTCTCATATTTTTTCTTTTCCCTTACTGTCACCTACCCTTCCCACTTTCCCTACACCATTAGACCTTTTCTTCCTATTTCACACTGTCCATTATATCATTAGAATCTTACGTACTATTATAGTTTATTCACACCAGACAAAGTATTTGGTATTTACGCATGTGTGACTTATTTATTTCACTTAGGAGTATATCCTCAATAGCTATCCATTTTGCTATGAATGAGTCTAATTTCTTATTCTTTATGGCTGAGTAATATTCCTAGAAGAAACACATCTTCTTTATCCAGTTTCCAACGGATGGGCAAATGGGCTGTTTCCAAGTTTTAGCTATTACAAACTGTGCCGCTATAAACATAGGTATACATATATCTCTGTGATATGATTCTTTTAGTTCTTTTGGAAAGATACCCAGCAGAGGGATGGCTTGGTCACATGGAACCTCTAGTCCCAGCTCTTTGAGGTATCTCTATATTGATTTCCATAGTGGTTGCACCAGTCTGCACCCCTACCAACCATGGGGAAGGGTTCCTTTCTCCCCACAACCCTGCCAACATTTGTTATTGCTTGATTTTTTGATAGCAGCCATTCTTTGTGGGGTGAGGTGGAATCTCAGTGTTGTTTTCATCTGCATCTCTTGAATGACCAATGATGTGGAACATTTTTTCATATATTTTCTTGCTGCTTTTACTTCTTTGTCTGAGAAATGTCTGTTCATTTCAGATGCCCATTTTGGAATCGGGTCTTTATATTTGGGGGAGCTGATTGTTTTGAGTTGTTTATATATTCTAGATAGTAGTCCTTTGTCTGAGGAGCAGCTGGTAACAATTTTTTCCCACATTGTAGGTTGTCTCTTAGTTCTTCTTTTTAATCTTTGGCAGGTTGAAATCCAGTTTTTCAAACACCATTTATTAAAGATGCTATCTTGCCTCCACTGAGGATGGTCAGCTCCTTTGTCAAAGATGAGGTAGTTGAGTACACCTGGAGTTGTTATTGTGTCTGCCAGTCTGTTCTACTGACCCTCAGGTCTGTTTCTTTGCCAGTACTATGCTATTTTTGTCACAGTGGCTTCGTAGTATAGTTTCAAATTGGGAATTGTTATACCCGCTACTATGTCTCTGTTACCTAGGATGGCTTTTGCTATTCTAGGTCTCTTATAGTTCCAAATGAGTTTTTGGATTCTTTTTTCTAGTTCTGTGAAATATAGTGTTGGAATTTCAATTGGCAGCGCATTGAATCTGTATAGCAGTTTTGGTAGTATGGCCATTTTCCCTATGTTGATTCTTCCTACACAGGAGCAGGGGATATCTTTCCATTTTCTTATATCCTCTTCGACCTCTTTTTTCAGAGTGCTGTAGTTTTCACTGTAGAGGTCTTTTGCTGCTTTTGTTAATTTATTCCTAGATACTTCATTTTTTTGGATGCTATTGTAAAAGGAATTGTTTCCGTAATTTCTCTCTCAGTGCATCTGTTATTGGTGTACAAGAAGGCTATTGATTTTTGGGTGTTGAGCTTGTATCCAGCTACTCTGCTAAAAGTGTCAGTTAAGTCTAGAAGTCTTTGGTGGGGTTTTTTGGGTCTTCAGTGTAGAGTATCATATTGTCAGCAAATAATGATAGTTTAACATCTTCCTTTCCTATCTTTATTGCCTTAATTTCTTTCTCTTGTCTAATTGCTATATCTAATGTTTCCAGAACTATATCGAAGAGGAGTGGTGATAGTGGGCATCCTTGCCTTGTTCCTGATTTTAACCTGAAGGTTTTCAATTTTTGGCCATTTAATATGATGTTGGCTGTTGGTTTTTCATAGATAGCCTTTATTAAGTTGAGGTATAGACCATCTGTTCCAATTTTTTGCAGGGTTTTTATCATGAATAGGTGTTGAATTTCGTCAAATGCTTTTTCTGCATCTATTGAGAGGATCATATGGTTTTTGTCCTTGACTTTGTTGATACAGTGTATTACATTTATTGACTTACGTATGTTAAACCATCCTTGCATCCCTGGAATAAATCCGACTTGGTCAGGATGTATGATCTTCTTGATGATCCTCTGCATTCTGTTTGCTAGTATCTCATTAAGGATCTTTGCATTGATATTCATTAAGGAGATTGGCCTGTAGCTCACTTTTTTAGTTGCATCTTTCCCTAGATTGGGAATCAAAGTGATACTTGCTTTCAGGAATGAATTTGGAAGTATTGCTTCCCTTTCAATTTCATTGAAAAGTTTGAAGAGTAAAGGCAGTAGTTCTTCTCTAAATGTCTTGTAAAATTCAGCAGTGGATCCATGAGGACTTGGGCTTTTCTTTGTTGGTGAATTTTTAATACATTTTCAATTTCACTGATTTTAATTGGGGTGTTTAAAATGTTTTTATCTTCTTTGTTCAACTTTAGTAATTCATAAGTATCTAGAAATCTGTCCATTTCTTCTGTGTTTTCCATTTTATTAGAGTACAGGTTCTCAAAGTAGTTATTGACTATTCTCTGGATTTCTTTTGGATCTGTTGTGACTTCACCTTTTTCATTCTTGATTGCATGGATCTGAGCCTTTTCTTTCCTTTTTTTGATAAGGTTAGCTAAGGGTTTATCAGTTTTATTTACTCTTTCAAAAAACCAACTCTTTGATTCATTTATTTTTTGTATCATTTTCTTAGTTTCCATTGCATTGATTTCTGCTGTAATCTCTATAATTTCCTCTCTTGTTTGAGCTTTGAGTTTTTCTTTCTCTTGTTTTTCTAGTAGACTAAGATGCATCATTAGGTTGTTTATTTGAGCTTGCTCTGTTTTCCTAGTATGGACATTTAGTGCTAGAACTGTTTTCATTATGTCCCATAGATTTCTGTATGTTATAGTGGCCTTTTCATTTATTTGTAAAAACTGTCTAATTTCTTCTTTAATTCCCTCTGTGATCCATTGATTGTTCAGGACAGTGTTGTTCAATTTCCATGTGTCTGTGAAGTTCCTACAGTTTCTTATGCTACTGATCTCCAGCTTTATTGCACTATAATCTGATAATATACAGGGGATAACTTCAATTCTTTTGCCTTTATTCAGACCTGTTCTGTGAGCTAGTATGTGATCTATCTTGGAGAATGACCCTGTGCAGCTGAA